GGCAGAGTTGAGGGGCGCCTGGGTGGCTCAGTCATTAAGCATCTGCCTTCAGCTCAGGTCATGATCCCAGGGTCCTGGGATCAAGCCCCGCATCGGGCTCTCTGCTCCGCGGGAAGCCTGCTTCTCCCTCTCCCCCTGCTTGTGTTCCCTCTCTCGCTGTGTCTCTCTCTGTCAAATAAATAAATAAATCTTAAAAAAAAAAAAAAAAGAAGGCAGAGTTGAGCTGGGACCTAACAAGAACATCATGAACTAGCACAGTCTACCTTTGGAAAAAGTCAGAGTCTGAATGGAGAGGGGTGTGCTTCCTAGCGACTAGGGATAGATCAAGTCTGGTCTTACATATGTTCATGCAAAATATAACACCTGCCATCTCAGGGGCTTCTCGTTGGGACATTTAGGACACAGGAAGGGGCTATGGAAATGGCCCCAATTTTCCACTTATTAGATTTATTAAAGGATTTCAAATCTTTGACAAAGAGCCATACAATAAAGCCCTAGATTGACTACCATCTTTCTGCACCCACTTCATCCTCCCCCTCTCATACACACGTGCACACTTCCCCTCTGCCAAACCATCCAAGCATTGGCGGCAGACATTATGAAACTTAAAACCTACTTTAGCCCTCATTTCCCCAAAATAAGAACAGTCTCCAACCAACCATCTGCCAGTACCGCTGCTAGAAATCAACATTAATTCCACGGTATCATCCAAATTTCACTCTCTTCTTAAATTCCCCAAGGCCCCCACAATGTTTTCTCCCAGCCTTGATCCAGGCTCCATTCAAGTTTCATGAATTTCCTTTGGTCTCTCCCATTCAAGAACAGTCCTCCAATGTGGTGGGCAGAATAATGGCCCCCAAAGTTGTCCATTATTCCATAGAACCTGGGAGTATGTTACCTAGTGTGTCTAGAGGGTCTTTGCAGACATGGTTCAGTTAAGGGCCTTGGGTTAGGGGATTTTCCTGAATTACCTAGTTGCATCACAGGGGTCCTTCTAAGAAGGAGGCAGGAGGGTCAGAGGAGACGTGATGATGGAAGCAGAGGTCTGAGTGTGGGAGTCAAGTATTTAAAGCAACCTTGAAAAGCTAGAAAAGGTAAGGAATAGATTCTGAGAGCCCCCAGAAGGAACACAGCACTGATGACACTGTGATTTTAGTCCTCCAGAATGTAAGCTGAGTCCTCCAGAACTGGGACTTCTGACCTCCAGAACTGTGAAGTAGCAAATTTGTAAATTGTTTAGCCACCAAGTTTGTGGTAATTTGTCACCACAGTGATAGGTAACTAATACATCAGAGCTTCTCCATTCTTCATGACACTGACCTGTTCCAGATGTCCAAGGTAGTTGTCCTATAGAACTTCTCGCTGTACAGATTCCAATTGATTAAACGTAAGTTAAACATCTTCATCAAGAACCCCACATGGGTGATGAGGTGTACCTCCCACTCATCTGGTCCCATGACTGGTCATGCTACACTTGGCCCTTGGTTCAGGCAGTTCTATCTCCCCACTATAAAGTCACATCCCCCTTCAGAGTTAATACATAAACTGGGATAAAATTTTAAGAACATGTGATTATCCTGCTCCTCACTAGCCAGTTCAACAGTTTTGATGGCATGTCAATTGTGTAAAACGCATTCCTGAAGCCTGATAATTTTGTAGCGTAGCCATTTTGAACCTCTTGCTAATGGCATTAGAAGAAACTATACTTATGTAGGTGTTCAGGGGATAAAATCAGCATTTTTGCCTGAGTGAGCAAGGACACCTGGTATACCAAGATTATGCACTTCAAATACACTAAAATGTTTTCTGAGATGCAAGACTATGGGATCTGTCCATCCACAAACTGAGATGTATACACAGAAAAGGGATCTGGATGCAGGTGTGTGTGTGTGCCTTGCATACGTGTCCATCCCATGTGAAACACTGTTCCAGTCTTCAGTGCTGAGCTCCTGGCACGAAAGGCATCAAGTGAGATCAAGACACCGGGAGACCAGGAGCTATGTGTCCTGCAGGTAACAGCTACAAAGGGGCCAGGGGCACAGCAGATGGCCCATCCCCTTCCACACCCTCTAATAAGACAGTGCTGTCCAATAGAAATAGAAAATAATGTGAGCAACATATGTAACCTAAAATGTTCTACTAGCCACATTAAAAAAATTAAACAAGGAAAAACAAGGTGAACTTAACCTTAATATTTTATTTAAGCCAATATATTAAACGTTATGATTATAACTATTCACAAAATAGTATCATTTACATATGTAATCAACATAAGAATGATTAAGGATGCATTTAATTTTTTTCTTGTTCCAGGTCTTTGAAATCCAGCGTGCATTTTGTACTTGGGGCGTGTCTCCATTTGGACCAGCTGCACTCCAAGTGCCCGGTAGCCCCTTGGGGCCCCTTGGGGCCCGGAGCTGTCACGCTGGGCAGCACAGCTCCCATCTAGGACTCCCTCCATCTTATAAAGGTGCACGTCTCATATTGCTCTTCAACGTTCCCAAATAGCAGTCTCCTGTCCTTTTATTCTCCCCTTCCAAACCCACAGTCCCAATAGAATGAAGATGAAAAGGCTAAAGAATTCCTGACTAGGAACACCATTTGATCCTTTCCTCCCCAGGGAATAATTTGACAACTGTCCTTAACTTACTTACAAGCCGTTGAGAAAGAGAAGTGTGTGAGAGTAAAGAAGCAACCACTCAAAGTCTGAGCTTTTGGGGAACTCCAGGAATATGGAATAAGCCAGTATTTATTTTATACGAGAGAAAAGAAGAAAAACGGTTAAGAACTATCGGCGCACGGAAACAATTAACAATTAATCATCAGTAGCCTTCAGATCCAAGGAATTTCAGGGGATTTCATGCATGTACAAAAATACCCAGGCAATAACTGAAAGGGACATTTGTCTTCAGCAGTTTTTTTTCAGGGCTTTTACTGGAAACCAGGGAGAAAAATAAGGCTGGTCAGTCTCCACTCTTCAGAGTTATTTGGGGGGGCCAATCAACCCTTGCCTTATACTGTACCCACATGAGGCAATTTAGCTTATCTGTGGGTTCAGGGGAGATTTCCTAGAGAAGCAAGGAGTTGGCTAGGTTTATAGTAATTTCTGTGAGGTTGGTATCATTTTGCAAATCTGGCAATTGAGTTTGGGAGACCTTAATCAGTTTGCTGAGATTACTCAGCAAGTGAGCAGGGAAACCAGGATTTCAATTCTAGGAGGAAAATGGTAAGTCGGTAGAATATCCAGGCTGTCCCATCTGTGTGACACAGAGACACCAAGGCTCCCTAAAGATCCTTGGAGGCCGGCCTAACGCAGGCAGGCAGTGGGCCAGGGGATCTAAGTGATAGCTAACCTATACTGAGTGTTTGCTGGGGGCCAGGGCTCCTTCTCGGAACACTACACAGACTCGGCAGACAAGGCCCGACTTGACTGGGTCCCCAGCAATTCTCCAGTATTATCCCCCCCTCCCTCTTTACCTCACCGTGCTCCACCACACTGGCTCCCTCCAGATGTTCCTCAAACACAACAAAGCCCAATCCCACCTCACAGCCTTTGCACGAGCCCTTCCCTCTGCCAGGGGCACCTTTCCCCCCAATGTCCACAGGGCTCCCCTCCTCACTCGCCCCCTCACCTCCCTGCTCTGGCGCCACTCCCTCGGTGAGACATCCCCTGACCATGCTATTTAAATTCAGGGCCAACACTGGTGCCTGGCACACAGCGGACAACCAGCACAGACATTTTATGAAGACATGTTTAGTCAAGGACAGCACCCTGGTGCAAGGTGCCTTTTGAAGTAGGGTCCCCCAGGCCAGCCTCCAAGGCAGCTGACAGACTTAACAGACTTGCGGTTGTTCGAGGCCCTGGGGAAGGGCGTCCCACAGGAGGACACAGCTGGGCAAAGGCCCTGAGAGGAAAAAGTGCTCGGAGAGGGTGCAAAAGCAGAGGGCTGGAACCGAACGTGTGAGGGGGAGCAGGGGGAGGCTGAGAGGTCAGTGGGATTCTGTGGGGAATGCAGGGGCTCTTGGGAGGTTGGAATTTACTCTGAACCACAGGAGACAGACAGGACTTTACATGGGTTTTTAACATGTTCCCTCTAGCCCTTGTTGGTAAAACAGTTAGGAACCCGACGTGAGGCCAAGGAGATGGGGTGGCTTAGGCATCCACGTGTCCTTTGTGATGCTCACGAACATTCATTGAGCGCCCCGAGCCCGCCACGTGACTGATGGGCGGAGCCCGGCCGAAGCCCCGCCCCGAGTGCCTGGACACGCCCCCGGCCCGTCGTGAGAGCAACCCCCCCGCCCCCCCCCAAGCCCGGGGGAGCACAGACTCAGGCAGGAGGTGGAGGAAGGTCCGAAATCCTCGCCTTTATTTCTCGACCGGCCTCGAAGGGGGTGGGGGTGGGGAGCTTCGGGCGGGTCCTAGTGCTCTGGGGGCGGCTCCAGGTCCTCGCGGAGGGCGCCCGGGCGCTCGGGGCCAGCCTGCGGGAGCGGCGAGTCAGGCTGCCGGCCCCGGCTCCCGAGGGCGCTGGCGTCCCCGCACGCAGGCCGGCGGCTGCCTTTACTCTATCCGTCACGTCCCCCGCCGGGCGCCCTGCTCCCCTCTGATGCTTTCTCCAAGAGACTCCGAGGGCACCCCCGCCCGCCGTCTCTGCCCCCGCGCCGCATCGCCGGGCTCCCTACCTCTCCTTTGCAGGCCCCGTCCTTTGGGGTGCAATGGATTAGGGCAGGACCCTGCCCCCGAATTTCTCCAGCTCCGCCTTCAGCCTGGAGAGCAGGGGGCGCGGAGAGGAAGAAGAGAACTAGAGTGGAGCGGCGCGGGGAGGAAGCCACCAAGATCCCGACATAGACCTCAGACGCCAAGCGGCCGGAGCCTCCGCGAGCGGCTGGGGTGCAAGGAGCGCCGCACCCCAGAGGCCCCGCCGACCCGCTCCAGCGCCAGGTCTTCCGGGAGGGGCGGCTGGAGGCGGTGACGGGGGAAAGTCGGCCCATTGCCCTCCTCCTTGCTCCTTCCCCTTCGCCCCTTGCTCTCTGCCCCTCTCACCCATCGTTCACCGCCGGGGCGCGCCCCGAGCTCAGCTGCCGCTCCACCTCCTCTAGCTTGGCCCGCGCCAGTTTCTCTGCGGGTGGGCGGAGCGTCATGGGCGGGGCCAGGAGCTCCAGGGGGCTAGGCCCCGCCCCCTCAGCCCCAACCCTGCACGGGGGCCCCACCTTCAGTGAGCAACTGCTCCTTGCTGCTCTGCAGGGCACATATCTCCCGGGCCAGCCGCTGCTTCAACATCTGCGAGAGAGGAGACTTGTCTGTCCGTTTGTCCTCTCAGCCCCCTTGGCAAGTCCTTACCCGAATTATGTCATTCATTCATTCATTCATTCAACTATTTATTAACTCGATGTGCAGTTCCAGCTGTGGCCTGGTGGTAGGGACACATCTCTCCAAAAGCTCCCCATGTCTCCGTGTACCTCTCAAATCTCATCTCTTCTCTCCCCCCATCCTCCCCCCCACCTTGCTCTCTCAAATACCCCAGGCTGGCTTCAGCCTCAGGGCCTTTGCATTGGCCTTTCCTTCTTCCAGGAACATTTGCACCAAGATACATGCATGTTTTCCTCCCTTACTTTATGTCTGTATTCAGATGTCACCTGCTCAGGGATGCCTTCCCTACTGACATTACATGATCTACTTATTTTTTTGTTTAGAGTCTGAGTTTGCCTCCCCTTGCACCCAACTATCCTGGGGACAAGCAAATACTTGGCCCCTTTGGCTCCCCACTGTCTCCTCCTGCCTGGAACGTTGATCAGACCATGGCCTTTTCAGGGTTCGTATTTGCCACTGCAAGGGGAGCAAACTCTAGGTAAGCAGGAAGAAAGCAGGATGCTCAGCAATGGTTACTGTAACAGTCTGGGCAATTGCCCCGTGTGGCAATGGGGGCAATGGTAAGAGGTGGCTAAATTTAAGGTAAAAGCTGAAGGGCTGAGTAGGTGGGTAAGAGGAAGAAAGGAGTCAAAACTATCCCATGGAGTTGGGGTGACCAGTGGGTAGACACTGAGCCAGTCAGTGGAGACACTGAAAGCAGGAGAGGAAGGGCTGTGGTTGGAGGCAATGAGGATGGCTCACGTGGAATTCCCAGAGGTCCTTGTGCTGGCCCATCAAATTCTCCAGCTGTTCTTCAACGTGCAACCTAGGGGCCAACAGCCAGGAATGAGAGAATACATGCTAGGACTGACATCCAGCCTGGCTCAGTCTAGGGGATTCCTCTGGATGGCCTTTGGATCTTTGCCCAGTGCTCCCTCTACTAGGAGCCCCCTTATGGGCTTTCTCCTCCAAGCCTTGGTTCCAGTAACTCCTCTTCCAACAAACTCCCTGATGCAAGCCCCACTCCCATGCCGAACCAGCACCACACTGGGCCATGGACCCGGGGTTACTCCCAGCAGTTACCCCAGCTTCTTCTGTCTGCAATTCTCTGCGACCTGAGAGTTATGGACAGAAATTTGCTCTGTGCACTCCTGCAACATGGAGACATAATGCTGGCTGGCTGGCTGGAAAAGGACTGCATAGATGTGTGGATGAATGGATGAATGTGTGTGGGTGGACAGGTGGGTAAGTGGATGACTGGAGGACTAAATGGGCAGATAAATAAACAAATGAATGGATGGTGGAAGAGCTGGATAGCCAATAGAAGAAGATTTAGCATAACAACAGGGGGTGAAATTTATTTAATAAAGAAACTAGCAATGAATGATCAAACGAGTGAGTTAATCTCAACACCACCAACCAAAATCAAAGATGAGCAGGGAAGTCTCTTGTCTAGCTATTCTATTTTACAGAAAGGAAAAATGAGGAGTGTGTGTCCAAGGTATATTTTCCCTAGCTTTTGCTCCCTCCTCCTTCAGGTTGGGAAATAAGGTGGGGAAGAGTTGAGCAGGACCTCTTACTTCTGAGCTCCACTTTCCTTCCTTTGGCAGTGCAGCTGGAGGATCCTCAGTGCCTCTGTGAGGAGAGGAACCAAGGGAGCCCTGTGTGACCTCTTGGGGAGTCAGGATTGGGTGGAGGTAATGGGCCCCACATCATATCACACATTGGAGGGCACTTGGAGGCCTTTAGTGTCTACTTCGAGTCAGGTGGCAGCTAAGGCAAAGGTCTGAGCAGAGAGGGAAGCACACCCTGACTCAGGTTTCAATGGGATTAATCTAGCTGTTCTGGGAAGTGTGGGCTTTTGTGGGTAAAATGGGGTAGAACAATGAAGACAGAACAGCTGATAAATACCTTGCTTTTTGCTCAAGACCTCCTCTAGGTGCACTTTCTCTCCATTCACTGGAAAACACAGTGACACTTTGAGCCTCCAGAGGCCAGATCCTGTGCCCTCATTGCAACTTCATGCAAAGGCTTATCAAAGTTACAGAAGGCATGGTACAGTGCCAGGGCAGGGGAGGTATCTTCTTGCCACCTGCACCCATCTCCCACTGGGGACCATCCTGATCCAGCATCTCCCCCTCAGTGTCCACATTCTCTATAAGTGCCAAAGGAGTGAAGACCCTGCAGAATGCACAGGGTTTATACCAATGGGAGAGATGACTAGAAATAAATACACTGTATCAAGTGGAAATACAGGCTGTGAAGAAACAAATAAAGCCGGGGAGTGGGGGTGACAGAGGGAAGGTGGTAGTCCATGTTTAGATGGGGCCGTCAAGCGAGATCTGTTAGAATGAAGTTTGGGCTGAGAGCTCAAAGGTGACTTGAGATAGCAAAAGGCAATTGGTATTATACAGATAAGAGTGTTGCAGATGGAGGGAACAGCCCATGCCAAGACCCTGAGGTGTGCAGAGAACATCAGCAGTGCTCATAAGATCTGTGGGTCCCTCTTTTGGTCCTACTTACAGGAGTCCAGTTCCTTATGCAGGGTCTCCCAGAGAGCTTGGGCTTCTCCCAGTTCCTCACTGGATTTCTTCTTTGCTGGGCCAAAGAAGAGGACACTGTGTGAGTGCAGCCTCTAACCTTGCTATTCTCTTGCACACTGTGACACTGCACACTCATCTTTCAACAACCTGGAGGTGCCTGGATTTTATAGATGAGGAAGTGGTGGCATTCAAAGTCCAGGTTCTTCCTGGCTAGCTAGGAAGTCTAGGTCCTGGAGTTTACCTTGCTGAAGCTCATTAATCCGGTTAATCAGGTCTTCATTCTGTGGCTCCAGGTTTCCCTCTGCAGAACGAAAGAAAGATTGAGCCAGAGAAGATAGGTGCCTGGCTGTCTAAGGCAGATAGAGATGGGTGGGGGTTGGTACAGTGTCTCTGATACTAGCAATCAAAACGCATTTATTGAGTTCCTGCTGTGTGTTGGGCTCTGTAAGAGGCCCTTGCAGGGTTTGCATTCTGCATGGGCGAGACAGACATTGAAAGAAGATATATGCTATCAACGTGGGTGCTCTCTTTAGAGAACTATCTCTAACTTCTCCCAGTACCAATTAGAGGGCTCTGTATGGAGATGACTTCCTCCTCATCCCTCTCTGGCTTCAAGGTCAGCAGCACAGAGTTGGGGCAAAAGTTTCCCAACCCTTGCTGGGTCTCACTACCAAACTCCTGACACTCTGGAGTGGCTGGAGTTGATAAACTCAAGTCCTTGGTCTTCTGAGACCACCAACTCCCATCTCCTGAAACTTCTAGGAGAGTGAATGCTCTCCAAGGTGCTGATTATGACTTAACACATTCCTGAGGGTCTTCATTTTACTGGAGACAGTTATGGTCACTCTGAATTTCCAGTCCTGTGATTTCTCTACCTAATTTTAGCCTAGGCAGCAGCTCCCATGCAGGTGGCCATG